CGCGGTGCTTCAAGAGGATGGGGCCAGACTCAAGGGGATAGGGCCAGACTTCAAAAGTATGGGGCCAGACTCTTCAGTGGTGCCCAGCGACAGGACAAGGGGCAACGGGCACAAACTGAAGCAGAGGAAGTTCCGTCTGAACATGAGGAGGAACTTCTTCCCTCTGAGGGTGACGGAGCCCTGGCCCAGGCTGCCCAGGGAGGTTGTGGAGTCTCCTTCTCTGGAGATATTCAAGACCTGCCTGGGCAAGGTCCTGTGCAGCCTGCTGTAGGTGACCCTGCTTCGGCAGGGGGGTTGGACCAGATGACCCACAGAGGTCCCTTCACCCCTACCATTCTGTGATTTTCAGTCATAACCCTGAGCCTTCCCACCTTGTCATGAGACCGTACAAAACATATCTGAGCAAGCAGAAAAGTGCAGAAGTTTTACATTTGATGCTGAAACCTTACCCTGTGCTCTCATTTCCTTGGAATATTCAGGCATGCCAAATAATCTTTCAGCGCTGGTGGTACTAAATCTCCCGAAATGCCCCTTTCCGAAGGCATTGTGCCCAACAGGAGGGGAACACGAGTAAGTTTTATTGCAATCAAATGTATATATACATTAAATTGTTTGCAGATGGCTTGCATATTTCTCTCCCAGAGGCTGTTGTGAGCCATATCCACAACAATTTATTTCTGAAGAGCATTTTTCGTCATGAGGTGAGGCTTGTTGCAATAGCATAGTGACAGGCTATCTGCAGGGAAGGCAAGTTTCTGCCTGGTACACAAGAGCATGCTTCATAGTCAAGCTTTTCTCACTGTAGCAGTTGATAGGGTGAGGCATCTAATTAATTCCTATCCTCCAACTCTAAAAAGCAGCAGTTTAGACTGTTCTTGCCCATAAGAAGCACTACCTTTTTTAGCTTTAAAGAAGAGCCAAATGATTTGTGATAAACTATTAGGGAAGTTGAGTGACATTTTTTCCTGAGGAATCATTTCGGAGAGTTTTAAATAAGGCATCAAAGAAGTTCAGCCTTTTAAAACCCACTCGCCTGCCAACAAATCTTCCGATTTTGACAGAGTATCCTGATTTCCCTAAGGCTGTTGCAGAATTTGTATCAAAAGCTGGCCACAACAAATATAGTAGGAAACAAAAACAGAAATATACTTTTTAGCTATGTACTTTTTCCTACCGGGAGAATGATGTAAAGCAGGTAGAATTGCTAAAAGGTTGAGATTTCATCCTCACGTCTCTCTCAGACATTTTTCTGATCTTTAATACATGAATAATAATCGGTAAGCATCAGGGAAAAAAAAAGGTCTTGTGGAGTCCTGAATCATCCTGAGGAGAGACCTGTGTGTTTTGCATTTGTATTTCAGGAGAAAAAAAGTGGGGAAAAATATGACATCTGGCAAACTTAGGAAAAACAGCATCAGAGATAATTGAATTAAAGGGTAAAATGAAAAAATAAAAAAACAAACAACCCCCCCCCAAGTCCTTCTGTCTTACATCCCTGCCTATGGGCAAGGGGCCAGCACGAAAAGAGAACCCATACCAATCCTGTAGATAACATGTCAGGATGGCATGATCTAGAGTAGTGGTTAAGCAGCCGCAGAGGTTGCGCAGAGAGGTTGTATGGTCTCCATACTTGGTTATGTCTGACTGGGTGAGGCCTGGGACCGGCTGATCTGGCTGTGAAGCTGGCTCTGCTCTGATGGCCTCCAGCCTACTCTTTTTCTACGATTCTGTAAATATATGATCTGCACCAGATGGCTCCGTGGGTAGTCCTGCAACAAAATTAGTGTGTTGAGCCTCGCTGACTTCGTCTGACCAGCCCGCAGAGCAGCATCTCACGTGATGCCAGTCTGCAAGTATTACTTTCTTATGACCTCGGTTCACGAAAGTATTTAAACACATTCAACTCATGCAGCTGCTAAGCTGGTATCCTACACAACAGTGATTTTCGTACATCTACATCTAAGATGTTGAGTAATTGTAGCTGTAGTTGGATGGCTTTGCCCGAGTCAGCAATGCGTTGGCAGGTTCATAAAACTGAATGAAAACAAAGTTCTAGGCAGTGCTTTCACAACACTCTTTATTACACTGGTGTCACTCTGGCCAAAAAACCAGGAAGTCTCACAACTCAGTGTGTTCCTGTTCTTAAAAGGACACTTTTATCTTAAAATCTGTAACACCAGTAAAACCAGCTGCTTCTTTTTTGTGTATTGTGACAGCTCAGGTTAGTGAAGCTAAGCTTCGGATCATTTTATGTTGCTTATCTCATTTTTGCACAAATAGAAAGTGAAAACAACCTAGTTACTTTTACTTCCATCGGCAGCAAACCGCTGAAACTGTATTGTGTGGCGTTCATCGCTGTCGCTTCTGAGTAACTGAAGCCTGATCAATTGAATACTTTCATACAATATTGACAGATAACACTTACCGTCCGGGCAAAAAGCGCTACCTGTATACCAGTGCAAAAGGACCTGGGTCAGTATAAGTAATACAGTATTCTTTAGAAGGATGTTGGCTCTGTTCAGGGGTTGTGTTTCTGCTTGTAGTAAGTTTGAATGGCTGTATCGTTCTGCTGTCACATGAATAAATAAAGCTGAGAAACAGAGATTTCCCCTACAGAGCAGAAAAGTAAAGCAAAAATGTTCATTAAAAATTAACATGTTATTTAAATGTTAATTTTTAAATAAGATTTTTTTCTGACAAGGAACAATGTATGCACCGTTGTGAAGAAATAGCTAAGAAAATCTTTTCAGGATAATTCATAACATTTGTTACAGGTGTTTTCTGTGCTAAAAGCTTGCAGTTTGTCACTATGGGGGAAGCTGTATCTAAGGTACAGCAGAGATCAGCTAATGTTTCCTGAATTTAAATGTTGTCTGCTGCTTTTGAACACTAAAATAAAGATTCAAATTTTGAGTAGTCTTGAGAGTGCAGCAGTCACATTAGACCAGATTTCCCTAAGAAGAAGAAGCACTAGTTTGCTGCATGTTTGAGCTCAGGGGAAAGGAAAGCAAGAATAGCAGGCTGAATTCTCTGGTTTGATCATGCCTCAAAATGGCTAGGAGCCAGCATGGGAGAATTTTTATCTATTGGACTCAAGTTTGCAGGTTGATAGCCTCTACGACCCAGCTTCTCTCTTCTTTCAATGACTTGTTTGTGAGAATAATCTGGAGGTAAGAAGAGTCATGGTAGAGCAAAACCCTGCAGTCTGTAGAGACGGACAGGCAGAATGACCATACATTTCCACCAACCCTCTCCACTAAGTCAAGAATTGTCAGCTTGAGGTTGGCATTTGCAGTGCTATCAGGGACGTGTTATTAGGGTGCATTGCATAAAACCCGCCTCAGTGGTTGTCTTCCAAGAGTAAATAATACGCAGAAGTCATATATTCCATTTATCTAGATTTATTTATATGTCTGCAAACTACCCCCACTTTTCATGGAGAATAGATCCAAACAGTTTTGTTTCTTTATCATTTCCCAGAACAGTTTTTAAAAGTCCCGGTCAGAGAATTCCCCTTCTTTTTGTGAAAGGTTATTTCATTATATTACAGATTTTACTGTAATAAAATATTTCCAGATATTTAATCCAAATCTTATTTTCCCCACTTGTAATTTGACCTCTCATCTTTTGTAATCCTGATTTTGCATCCTCAAATCATAGCTGATTCCTGTCCCGTTTCACCTAATAATACACAACAAGCTGGTTAGATTTTTTTATCCACTGATAGCCCGGGAAGAGTTTCAGCCCATGGAAAAAATAATGAAAAGCAGCATTATTGATGAGGACAAG